AAGTCTGGATTTTTCTGTTTCAAAACTTCTATTGATTTGAGGCACCATTCACCACTACCACTCTGATATAACAAATCTTTATAAGATGGCGCCTCCATCACCACAAATCTAGGTATAGTCAAAAAAATATGTGATGGTATCACCCAAATTGGAATTTTAACATCAAACTTAAAAAAATACTTTTGCCAAACTCTTAACACTTCATTTTGTCCTCCCTTTTGCATCCTTTCTTTAATGATTCTTTAATGATTCTATTCCACAATTTTTTTCAATATTACTCTTGACCTGTAGTGAGTTGTCCCACAGCGAGTTGGCCATGGTGAGTTGTCACATGATGAGATGGCCGTGGCAGGTTGTCGGAGACTTTCTGTTTGAATGAAGAAATGAAATTACATCTTTGATCTGAATTTGAGTTTTTAACAGGAGAGAAACTGGGAAACGGGTTGAGTGTCCATAACAGCCAGAATGGGACAACTCCCCCATGGCCAAGTCGAGGCAGGACAATTCAACAATTCAATTTAATTATTTAAAATAATTTTAAAAATATTTTAATGTTTGTCATTCACATTTCATTTTGTCCCTCCGTTTGCATCCTTTCTTTAATGATTCTATTCCACCATTTCTTTGATATTAGTGTAGCTCTTGTCCCATAGTGAGTTGACCCATGGCGAGTTGGCCGTGATGAGTTGTCCTGCAGTGATTTGACTGTGGCGAGTTGCCCTAGATCCTATAACAGCTTCCTTTAAACCAGTGGTTCTCAACCTTTTTAATGCCGCGACCCCAACCGGTCGTAAGTCGAGGACTAAACCGGTCGTAAGTCGAGGACTAAACCGGTCGTAAGTCGAGGACTACCCAACCGGTCGTAAGTCGAGGACTTTCCCTGCCCGGGAGCACCGTGCATGCGTGGTTCCGCCCCCTGCGCCGGCCGAGGCGTAGCTGGCAAGCGGCAGAGACGGAGCAGGCCGACCACCAGCTGGCCCAGCCCAAGGGAGGTAAGACACCTGCCGGAAAAGGGGAAAAAATGGCAGACAAAAAAAATGGTGGACAAAAAAAATGGCGGACAGCCTTGCTTGGCGACCCCCATGAAATGGTTGATCGACCCCAAATGGGGTCCCGACCCACAGGTTGAGAACCACTGCTTTAAACCGTATCCTCCTTGTGTATTGAACTGCACTTTGAGAATGATGGGAGTGATAGTCCCAAATATCTGCAGGGTATCTGACTGGTGAAAGCTTTTTGAAGACGGTGGGTTGATCCTGTTCTTAACCATTGGCAGACTGAAGCAACCATCTCAGACAATAGATCTTGGTTGTCATGAAAATGCAGCAGGCTTCTGAGTTACATAATGTACAGATATTTTAGAGTCCAAAATGGGAAAGAGTGTTTATGTGATTTTGTGGCTCATATTCCAAAGTAGTGTGCTGTTTGTTATAAATCTTGTTTCAGGAGAAGAGTGCCTCCATTCGCTCCTCTATCTTAAGCAGCAAGGGAACTTAGGACCCAGATTCTGGCAATTGGGCCCCCTTGTGGTCACATGACCAAAATTTGGATGCATTTATGGCCATGTGCAGCATCCCACACTTATGTGATTGTGTTTTATGATAGTTTTCCCAAAAATCAGCACTTCTAGGTTTTGGAAAAACCACACCCTTGGTGAACTTAAACTTGAGTTTGTTTAACAACTGTGGTGATTGGATTAACTATCACCACAAGAAAAAGGTTGCAGAATTGGGTCGGTCACATTTTACTATTATTTTGTGACATATGGCCATAATGAACAAGTTCCATTATGGTCATATGTCAAGGATTACCTGTATAGTAATTTTAAGTCATCTACTTTTTATCATATTCAATTTCCACTGGAATGGGACTGAGAAGAATCAATGGTCACTTGCATACATATCTTCATGTATATTTTTTATTATTTTTTTCCTTTCTATAGTCTATTATCTTTAGGATAAGATGGGTGTTCCATATCTTGTTCAATGGTTCCGAGCCTACCTGGAGTTACAGAGAGAAAAGTATTAATACAGCTTTCTTCAGCCAATAAGTTTTCAAATGTATTGGATTTCAGTTCCATTATTCTCAGCCAGCATAGCTATGCTGCTTTGGGATTATGAGAATCAAAGTCCCTCTCTCTTGGACTTCGCCACCAGGTTAAATAAGGTTAATTCATAAATTATTGGTATTGCAGAAATGGCACTTCTACTTGGCTGAATTCTGCAGAAAAGATGCCCATAAAATGGTCACAATCTCAGGCTGAGTCTTTTTA